CAAATACAATAAAATGATAAAACTTAATTTTAAAAATAAGTTAACAATAAAGACAAAAAGTACAATTATAATTTTTAACACTGTTAAAAAAAAATCAATTTTTGTCAACACATCATAGCGCTTGGAATGAAGTGAATATAACAGTTGGCGGCATAGCGGTACCAAGTGATTACCGACTCGGTCTTCTATATCCTTGCACATCTTCTTTGAGAAGTAATAATAAGGGTTAATTATTAACGTTATTAGGTCAATAGGAATTTGCAGGCTTTCTCTTGCTAAAACCAGACTACCTTCGTGTAGTATTTTGCCGATAAGAGATGTTCTTATTTGTGATGTTGTTTCACACAGTAGGATAAAATGTTCAATAGTTTCATCAGCTTTATTAGAGTCTACACATCGGATTCGTTGCATAATTTGAATATTCCGCTTTATTATATTGCAGTATGTAGGTTCCTGTGACTAATTTGGAGCAAATAGACAGTTTCTTTATCTCATTTATATTTGCACTTATTGTTTTAAGTGAAGGATGGATTCTGCCAATATCATATTCACATTCAAGATATCTTAAGGTTGAGTACCCCTTCATTTTGGTCTTTATGGCATCCTCCCAGTACTTGTGAATCTTTTTGGTTATAAACCTCTTCCATTCAATTTTTGTTAATGGCTTTTCAAGATACTGTTCTAACTCTACGATGTCATATTTGCCACATATCTTTTTCAGATCAATAAACCAGCTATTGCTTGAGTAGGTTTTAATTTGAAGTTGACGTTCCGCTATTCTCCACTCTAAGGACGATCTTTCAGCTCTGGTTATATTCCCAAATAGTGTTATAATTTTAATATGGATCTCTGCTTCAAGTGGGAGTAAACCTGATAATAAATAGACAGCCGGGTCAGCCACATTTAGTTTGAGAGATAAAATCTGTTTAATCCACCTTTTATGTTGTTGTTGTATAAGATCTAAATTTTTACCTGATGGTATCAAGACTTCTAGGCCGTAGGTCAGAACTGGTAAGATATATGTTCTAAATAAGGAAATTAGTGTTTCAGGGTCTAATCCATTTCCCCCATGTAATCCTGCACCCAAAAGACTGTACATAGATCTTCTGGCTTTTTTTTATATTTTCAGTGATGGTTGCATTAGTAGAGTCTTTTTGAGATTTTTTTATTCCAATATGAGAAGAGTCTTGAACAATGGGCATATCTATATTTTTAAGTTTCCAAAAACCTTGATCAATATCTAGCATTTTGTTACATGTTTTGATTGGCAAGACTACACTTTTTTGAGGCTGTAGTAAATATCCTTCTCTTTGGCTGAAATCAACTGCTATATTTATCATATTTTGGAGTTCAAAGGGATTGTTAGATATCAGGGCAACATCGTCTGCACAGGTCGGCGCACAACAGTTTATATTCCCAATTTTGGCTCCTAGTCCTGAGTTGCTCAGAATTTGTAGTAGAGGGTTGATATAAACTTTGTAGAGGTCAGCGCTAATGGCTCCACCTTGTCTTACACCTTGTTCAATATTGAATAAGCAATTTGACAAAGTATTGCCCCATTTTACACAGGATGTTGCATTTTCATATAAATTGCTGATCAGTAGAATAGATTGTTGTGAGAAACCAAATTGAAAAAGACGTCGTATTAAGTTTTTATGGACTACAACATCAAAAGCAGATTTTCCATCCAATAATGCAATATAGGTTGGTAACTTGAGATCTTTATTTTCTCTTTCAAAATTCTTCAATGACCAGTTCACATAGCAGTGGAGTGGATTTTGCTGTGAAGCCTTTTTGCAGTGGGTGATGTTTCAAGATCTTATTGTTTTCTCTTCCTTTGATTATAATCTCTATGATCTTCGAGTAAGTTGGTGTTACAGTAATCCCACGGTAATTTTTAGCATTCTTTATGTCACCTTTGTTTTTGAATACAGGGAAGAGAGTTCCAATTTTGAGTAAGTTTGGTATATAGCAGTGTTCAAAACTTGTGTTAATTAGAAGTTGAAGATACTCAAGAAGTATTTCGCTGGCATGAATGAAATTTTCAGCAGTGATTCCATAATAGTCCATAGCTTTATTTGTATTTAATTTTTTGACAGCATTTTTCAATTCTTGGATTGAGACTTTTTCATCTGAATAATTTTTCTTACATATCTTTAATATTAGTTTTGTTTCATCTTCTACTGCTTCTAAATGATTCTGATCAAAGTTATGATAGTTAGATTTTTTGGCAAGATCTCCAAAATGTTTTGTCCATCCTTCCAATACACGGTCAGATGTTTGATAAGTTTCATTTTCTACTATAAGTTCTTCAATAAATCTACCCATTTTCCCCCTCTGTTTTCTAATTAATTTATAAAATAAGGCAGTAGCACTGGATTTAGCATCCAAAATTTGTTGTCGAGCATTAATCCTTTCTAGCGCGTGCTCTTTTCTACATAGTTTCCTGAGATCATATGTGGTGATTGTTTTTTCCTTAAGATAGAAGTTACCAGGTTCTTGGATCGACCATATTCTTCCCATACAAAGAAGGCAGTTTTCTTCCTTTTCACAGCTTGTAAAATTTCCTCATTAATTCATGGTAGTTTCTTCTTTTTCTTGCCCTTTCGTTTTCTTGGAGCAATTTTTAAGGTTGTATCTGATATAATTTTGGTCAGTTCATCAAAAGCTTGATCTAAATTCAATTTTTCTGATATTGGTTTAATTTTTTCTAATTTCTCATTAAGCAAAGTTTTATATTCATTCTTGTCCACCTTATTCCAGTTACCTTTGGAGTTTTTTGCATTAGTATGTTCTTTCATCTTCTTATAGGATATATCACATTTCAATGACAACATCAGTGGAATATGATCAGAGACGTTGCTATTTATTTCCTGTTTTTCAATCTTGACAACATTTTCCTTATAACGGTCTTGAAATAGAATGTAGTCTATTGCAGACATGGCTTGGCCACTTGGGTGTATGAAAGTAATTCCACATTCAACTGTTGAAAGTTTATGTTCTGTAATAAAATTAGATATGGCTGTTTTTCGTTGAGAATTTGTTGAACTGTATATGTTTTCATTGAGGTCTCCACCTATTATCAATTGATGAGAGTTTTTAAAGGTTTCAAATATTTCATGAAGGTGGTCCAGACATTCGTTGAGTTCAGTAAAGTGGTTATTAGAGCCCCTACATGGCAGGTAGACAGATATAAATATAGTATTGGGATTTCCCATAATTTCAATACAATCAATTTTATTCGTTCAGTGAATGTTCACTTGTTTTTGTTAGTTTGTCTTTTGATTTGAGTTAAGCCAATTCAATTGATATTTTATAGCGTCTTTCTATGTTGTGATGTTTCACTATTTTTTTCTGGTAGTGAAGGTTGGCGCCTATTAAAACGTTTAAACCCACTGCATTTGTTTGCACCTGTCCCAAGTCAGGAACCTGATGTTCAGTGGTTGTCGTTTGTTAATGTGCTTCATAAGGGTTTCTTGTTTTTTATATAGATTAGACCGTTGGTTTTACGTCTTTTTGGGGCCCTTAATAGTTAGCTGTTCGGTGTGATACGGGCTCAGCGTTGAAGGCCGTACTTTGGATCTATAATGGTTTATTTTTACAAACTGCGACTTGGATGGAAAGTTGTCTAATTGGCACTCATACCACATCTTATTATATCTATTGTCTTAAATTGACCCAATCACAAACTAACATGTCACTTTTTTTGTAAACTATATATATATGCAAAAGTTTGAACTCAAAATGGACTATGACTGACGGTGCAGACAAAAATTAGCTTGCAGGATTCGTACATAAAAAAATAGCCCTCAAAAAAACACTTACCGTCCCTAATATATTCCAAGGTGTCAAGATTTTGCTTAACCTAAAGCAAATCTCATTTCAAGAAAATACTTCTATATTTTAAACCAATTTCTTATAACTTTACACTAGCCCCAACCGATTTTTACTAGTCCCGAGACTTATGGCTAGTGGTGTTTGGCAGAGACTGAGAGCTGGTTTTAAGAGTATGAATTTCAATTTTTTTTTCAATTGCAAAATTAAATAAAATGTCATTAAAAGTGCAAAATTGATTGTATCCCTAAACTAAATGTGCACAGTTTTTTACTGAACTGGTAGCGCACATTGGTAGTGATGTTTACTTCATCACTTGACTTGCTGACGAAATATTGTTCAGTTGTAATGAAATGTGTGACGAAAGTCCTTCAGTTCATTCAACTTCCTGAAAACTTTAATCAGCAAACAGGAAGTAGGTGCTTGACTGATCTACTAAGTGATCACACATAACAGCTCATCTCTGCGAAGCTGTGGTATAAACATGGTCATTCTTATTAGTATCAACTGAGAAAAGATTGAATGAAATTTTTGTTTGAAGACCGAGCAAAAAGGGACGATAAAATTACTATTCCTTAAATGAGAACCATGATGAACTGTTACACCACTGTCCCAGGTTAGGGGAGGGTTCAAACATGTTAAACCCGGCCACATTCTATATGTGCCCGTCCCAAATCAATGAGCCTGTAATTGAGTGGTTGTCATTTTTTTTGCTGTTTCTCATTTATTGTTTTGCATAGTTACTTTTCATTTTGTGCTGTTACACCACTGTTCGAGGTTAGGGGAGGGTTGGCACCTTCAGAGATGTTAAACCCGGCCACATTCTTTGTGTGCCTGTCCCAGGTCAGGAGCCGGTAGTTCAGTGATTGTCGTCGGTTCATGTTGATCTTATTTGTTTTTGGTTGATTGTTTTGTTATAAATCGAGCCATTGTAAATGCCATTTTGCAGCAACAGTGAAAATAAGACTTGTCCTGTACTTCATATGATAAGCATTGATGTTGAATGAAAAGAAATAACGCCTATTCTAAATCAAAAGAAAGTTGGAAGCTGTTTGCTTTTGGACAAAATTCACACTAATCGAACTTTCATTTTTTTTTTATCTTCTTCTGGAAGCATAAGGACAGAAGGGAAAGGCAGGATAAACCAAAGATTTAACATCAAATACTGACAGTTTAACAAGCACTTTATTGTCCAAGACTTTCATTAGTAGAAAAGATCTACACCCGCATTTCTGCTATTTTCTATAAAATATCCATTAAAAAAAAAAAATTGCACAATAATAAGTGTTTCTATAGTTGTCCACTGGCAGTAATCTTGACTTCTTTGGAGGTCTTGCCACTCTGAGATCCAACACCCTCAATTTTCTTAACAATATCCATTCCTTCAACAACACTGCCAAATACAACGTGTTTTCCATTTAACCTGTGAAAGAGAATATGAAAACTATAACAGAGAGAAAATAATTCATTTTTTGTATAAATACTAGCTACGGGAGTTGGGTCAAATGAGGAAATATATGATCAGTGACACAGCTGAACAAAAAATGTCTGTAACTACAATTGATAAAGAATACAATAAGTAACTTTTATTTTTGTTCCCTCCACAGCTATATTAAAATAAATTGCTTCGCAGAGCGCAGTTGGATACAACCGCAGAGGTCCAACCCTGAATAGTTGAAAAATTTGTCCCCCCTCACAATTTTTTTTCACCTCCCCTTCCTTTACCAAAATAAATAATTCTTTCCCTCAAGATATGGTCATAATCTCAATTCAAATTTCCAATGGAGTTTGCAACCATAATTACCCATTTAAATACATCATAAAAGTCTTAAACTAGAAAATGGCATACATAATCATGGCTAAAATTAATATATTAAATATTCCTTAATCAGCATTTTTAAATAGTAACTTCTAAAAATAAATTGACAGCTAATCACCTCAAGACAATACAACATTTCTTTATACATAATTTAATAGTGTAAGGGAGGTAATCCAAACTTAACATTGTACTTTTTTTTAATTGTCCATTAACCAGGAAACCTTTGTATTTCCCCCTGTTTTGCCCCTAATTCCTAAACGGTTTAAGCCATAACCCCCCTAAGCAAATCCTAACCATCCCTTTGTGGTATGGAAACTTGTGGTATAATGTCAGAGAGATCCATACACTGTTCCACAAGTTATTGTCTGAAACTAGAAAAATGCTTATTTGGGCCCCTTTTTGGCTCCCAATTCCTAAACTGTTAGGACCATCACCCACAAAATCAATCCCAACCTTCCTTTTGTGGATATAAACCTTGTTTAAATTTCATAGATTTCTATTCAATAATACTAAAGTTATTGTCCAGAAACCAACGGTCTTCAGAGGACGTGATACCAATATATGACTGACTTAAGTAGAAAACTTAACATTGAATATTGCTAATTAATTCAAAGTCACTGACCTAGGGGACAGGGCCTCTAAATAGTCGTCAAACAGATATGTACTAATAGTAATGCAACTTCATACAAAATATCATTGATCTATCACAAGTAGATCCTATAAACTAACTCAAGCAGAAAACTCATTGAAAATAGCTTATTAATTCAGTCACTGGACCATGTCCTAAGGGCCAGGACCTCAAAATAGTTGTCAAACTGATATGTACTGTTAGTAATGCAACTTTATATTAGGTATCAATGATCTATTACAAGTAGTTCCTATCAAACTAACTTAACCCTTTCGCAGACGAGTCCCGGTTTACCGGGATTCACGCTTCAGACAGCTGACGATGAGTCCCGTTTTACCGGGATCGGAATACCTCTTTTATATTTCCCGCTCAAAACAGTGCAAACACGAGTTATCTTTCTTTGTTGAATACCCGGATGAAAGTGTAAACATGGCGCTTCGGTTTGTTGAAAACCGTGTCAAAATCAGAGGAAATTTACGGAATTTACGAGAATTTAAAATGAGGGAACATTTATTTTGAAAGAATATGGAAGAATTGAAGCCAAACTAGTATACTTTTTTGACATAAAATGTTGTTTTATGTACAAAACACTTGGAATGGACATCGTTCAGTGTAAGGAATTTGTACAGCCTCAATAAATTTTTCAAAATTTTGCTGTTTAGGGTTAAAAAATTACGATTTTGGGTCAAAAAGTAGAATTTTACCTAGATAATGCCGAAAATTTGAAAATTTTAATATTTTATGAAGAAAAAATTATCAAAACATGAACAAAACTGTGAACATGACATTAGTGAATGAAATAAAGACACAAAATACTACAGACAAGTTTTTATTGACATTTATTATGAAGATCTCCCACTTGAGTAATAGTAGCCTGGGAAACCATCGTCTCGGAGTAGCTTCTGTCTGTGCAGCTATCGGTGAAAGGGTTATTTAGAAAACTTAACAATTGTTGATGCCACCGCAGCCGACTGAAAAGCAATCCCTGCGTCTTGCTTTCCGTGAAGAATGGGCGAGACAAAAATTGATGACTAGAACCACAACAACAGGCAGGATGTTTACATTTTTAAGGATACCCCTGCCTATCCTTTAGACTGAAAATGCCTTTTCTATTCTCTTGACATAAAAATTACATACATTTGTATTTGTACACATTGGATGAAATGAATAAGACTAATAAATTCCATAAAAAAATGGACAGGTGGAAAAGACGGAATCCATTCAAGCTGTAGTATATTACTTACCATGAAGTTTCTGCTGTGCAAAGGAAAAATTGAGATCCATTGGTGTTTTTACCAGCATTTGCCATGGATAAAATTCCTGAAATGCAAATTAGAATTTCTATATTTTTTGCAACTTAACTGCAATTTAAAATTTAACATGTAAACCAAGGACTGGTTAATTAATAAAGGTATGACATGCTTCTTTGAGGTCAATAACAAGGGTATACAGGGTGTCTTTAAACGCTATTTATAGTTTGGCATGAAATTGAAAGAATAAATAGGACACACTTTAAAGGATAGCAAGTATTATCAACACACATTTACATATCCTATCAGGATTTAATACAATGAGAATTTCTTCCTCAAGTAGGATATTCACCAAGTATGATGTCATAATTCATTATGGTTCCATTTGATTTTAAATTTTGATCAATTTGTCATTGTGTACGTAAATGTTTATAAAATGAAAACAATAATTTGTAATATCATACAGTTTGAGCTAATGCTCTCAAATTCATGGAGTATGCATGTACATTTATGTAAGTCCTCACACAAGGCATCAAATTTAAATTCTATTTCAAACCAGATGCAGTTGCTAAATATTTATAAATCTCACATATATAAACAGACATCCCTCTTCAGAATGACAACTGAGAAGTCTATTCATGACAAGTGAGAACCTGTGAAGGTGTTTCAGTCTCCATTCAAAGGCTTGAACTGAAATTTAATATGAAAAACTTACCTGGACCAGTATGGTTCAGCTTGAAGTTTTCATCCTCAAATTTATTGCCATAAATACTTTTGCCACCGGTTCCGTCTCCTCTAGTGAAATCCCCACCTTGGCACATGAACCCAGGAATTACTCTGTGGAATTTGCTGTCTTTGAATCCAAATCCTTTTTCACCAGTGCAGAGAGCTCTGAAGTTTTCTAAAATTAAAGAACAGATTCTTGTAAATAAATCCAGATTTAGGTGACTGTGTACTGTAGATACATCATATGAAGTTTTTAAGATACAAATGTAAATTTATTTCAGCTTTGTAATATTCATGAAGTTATAATGCATTTATAAGTACTTAGTAGGAATAAAACGTTTTTTTTTTTAATTTTTACTCAGCCATGGAAAATTGAACATGATGTCATCTCTCTTTAAGACTTCAGATTTTCAAATTGTCATAGCTATTCAAACTACTTTATATAGTTATAATGCTTAACCAATGTTATGGTTTTTTCAACCTTGATTATTTTATTTTTTTACAAACCAGATTTTCCCAATATTGACACTTTATTGTAAATTTTGAAAAGCTTAATTTCTATTGAAAAATTCATGGCACACAAGGACAATCAGTAAATGTAAACAGCTCTGTAAATAATGTGTGTAAAGCTATAGATATATACACACATCATTTATTATATACTGTATAAAGGGAAATAATCCTTACAATATTGATTGTCTCCCCTATAAACATTTCTCTCTATTCATTGGTCTATAATGTTGTATTTCATTATTTTATTGTCATAACTAATCAATGTATGAAAGGAATAGATCCAACAACCCCAATAAAGTCCCCATAAAGGTGTATTTTTAAAATTCAATTATTTGAGTAAATTTTATGCCTAAGTATTGGTTAAATGTTTTAATTTTGAAAGGATATAAATAAGAATGGTTGTATATCTGCTTCATATTTATAGATACATTAGTCTGAGATAGGAATATATTTCATTTTAGTCAATTTTGGCCTGCTTTTCTTATGTTTGAATGATATGTTGAGAATTTTCAAGATCAAAATCTTGCTGTCTCCTTTTGTTTGGACATCACACAATTAAAAAGAATATTTCAAATATACATACCTGCTGTTTTTGGTACAACATCAGCCCTCAACTGAAAGAGAAGAATGCATTAGGCTGATTTGCTACTTTTTTCAATAGTACAATGTACATGTACATAATTTGAATGATGCGGTGTTATATTGCTTTTTAGGGTTCTGAGTCCAGAGCAATTTTCTGATTTGGCTACCTCAAAATTAAATTTTTTTATAAAATGGATCTATAACTCTTGCTTAAGTTCATGAAGTTAAGGTATTTTCAAAACTTCAACGGATTCTGAAAGGCTGATATCAGCCATACAATTCTTACCTACTTTTCGTATACGGAATGGTAATATAAACCTGAAAGGCACCACACCAGTTCAAGGAGAGGTAGTTTGAAAAAATATTTCCTGAAACACTTAATAGGATTTGATAAAGAATTCTGAGGTGGCCAAATCAGAAAATCGCTCCCGACTATGAATCCTAAAATGGATCGATTGAAACAGTAACAGTGTCAGAAAATTTCTGTAATACCAATGTTGTTTACATTTGATTATGAGGATGATGAATCATAAGAGTTATTGCAAGGATGGCCAAATCTGAAAATTGCTCCAGAATCAGAATCCCCAAAGTAAATTATCTTTATTTTAGTATTTAGGAACCAAATTTTGCTTTATTTTTATAAGGATTGGAAAATTTAGTTGGCGTGACAATGCCAACAGTTTAAGACTGCAAAGAAATTAATGCCTAATGGGGACTCTTTGATATTTTTCTAAGAGGTGGGGGGGAGGGGGGTAAGGAATACAATAATAAAAATTCTGGCGTAGAAAAATGCAGGAAACTATTTGTTGTATACAGATATGAAATAGGATTTAATAGCGGCTTTATCGCGCGAAATCAACACGCGGTATAAGCTACCAAACAGGTGAAAAATTATATCCCATCCGCGCAGCCCCCACCCTGAAAATCTAACGGTCGTCTCTTAATCTTTTTAAATACAATTTATTTTTAATTAAGCTGCTTAATCCTACAACTTCAGACACGGTCATAAATAAAACAAGTGCATAACACTAAACAGGAACAAAACTTGCGTCCTCCTTTCACTTGCGGCGACTCATTATTTAAGATGCCTTCACTTGCATGGTTACAGAACAAATACCGCTGGTTATCATAGAAAATAAAGTAATAACATACCTCCATAACAATTCTACCAGCTGGAGTGCCTCCAATAGACATATCGAAATAACATTTTGGGTTTGTCATACTTGATAATCTCCTGAAAATCAGGCGAAATGAATGAGTGAGTGGAATTGTGATGGCGGGATTCTCGAAGCCGGTAGAAGAAGGAAGCACGTGGTTTTTCTCGAAATGAAAACGAGTTTGGTGATTGAAACGAGATTGGTTTCTATAGTCTGTTTCATGTTTTGTTTTTTAAAAGGGGGTCATTTGAGGGTCATGTGGTCTGTTTTCATATTATCACCATACAACATGTAGAACGCCACATAGCCTCAACCGATTTCCACAATTTTTATGCATAGCTTTGAAGGTGCTTTTCGTTATATTGTGAAATTTGAACAAGAATTGGGATAACAAACTGCAAATCAAATCAAATCAAATCAATTTTATTTGTGTAAAATCCAAATATTGGATTGTTACCAAGACAAACAAGACAATATTTACAAACCTACAATTTAAAGTTAAACAACATTGATATTATATAAGTACATGTAGGGTCTATATCATATATTTATATATTTAATTATTTTGGAGGAGCATGAGTTTTTAATGTTAAGAAATCAAAAATTTTGAGAAACAACTTTTTGTGCTTGAATTTTCAACCAATATTGATATAGATAGGTTATGAAATGCTAATAAAAATTGATTTCCAATGACAAAAATTGATTTCCAGTGACGAAAATTGATTTCTAGTTGCAAGGATGTATATAGTGAAATCTTTGCTAGTTGTGATGATACACCTTGTCGCTATTCCCGCTTGACCCGAGAATCTGTCCCGCTTGAACTTTTGACGTCATACAACAATCACTTTTCCATTGTGGCGTCAGACATTTTTATTATGACGTCAAAATTTACGGGAACTTTTGTGATGTTCAGTAATGGTGGACAAATAGCGATAGGGTGTATTTGGGCGTAACATTTTCCATAAAACTTATTTTTTGTTCGTAAAAATTCACAAAGAGAAACACCTTATCATGCAAGGATTTCATGAAAATTGATAAATAGTTATTATGAGCTATTCCAAAGCAAATACAGGTGTCACACATTTCGATTAAAATGCTCCGCTTGGCGCAGCTCGATACGACCGCAGAGGTCGAACCCTGAACGGGTTGGGCAAGTATTAGTATGGACATTACATGCAAGCTTGATAAAGCTCTGAATTTGGATTGTGATTAAATATTTAACACATCATAGGTTCCTGTCACAGAATGAATGTGGTCAAAGAACTGAAAAATTTGTGAAATTAGATTTTACCTATTATGGTCCAATAACCAAAATCTAAATACACGGTTAGAATCAACATATCCTTCTGAAAATTAATTTATACAGAATAACAAACAAACCTACCTCAAAAATCTTCAAAAAATGTATAAAAAAAATATTCTAAAATATCATTCATCATTAATACAGTGTCTTTAAAAAATCAATAAACCTTACCTCTTTTCAAAATATCTAATAATGAACAGTAAATTTCAAACTATATTTATATATAATTTCTAAAGTTAGAATATGATGCTATATCTACTTTTAACTATGACCCAACTTAAAATTTCTATTAATTGTGCAATACAGCTCTCAATTTGGGCTCTGATTAAATACTTGATATAGCATAGTTTCTGACACAGAATGAATGTGGTCTAAGTACTTAAATAATTCAAATTTACCAATTATGGTCCAATATCCAAATTCTAAATACATGATTTGAATCAGCATATCAAAGAACCCCAAGAAATCAATTCGTTTGAAAAACTGGCCCAAAATCAAAAATCTAAATCACTGTTAGATTGGACACTTCAAAGTACACCAATAATTCAATGTTTGATGAAATCAAACAAAGTTTATATTTGGACACCAATTTGGACCAACTTTGAAAACCGGGCCCAAATTCAAAAATCTAAAACATAGTTAAATTGGGAATATCAAAGAACACCAATAATTCAACTTTGGATGAAATCAAACAAAGTTTAATTTTGGACCCTTTGAACCTAAATGTGGACCAATTTGAAGACAGGCCCAAAAACACGGTTATATTCAGCATTTCAAAGAACATCAATAATTCGTCAGGGTCATAACTCCTGAAATCAATCCCAACCTTGCTTTTATGGTATAAAACCTTGTAGCACAATTAAATAGCAATCCATAGACTTATACTCAAATTATAGTCCAGGGACGAGAAAATCCTAGTTTTTTTGCCCCTTTTCGGCCCCTCATTCCTGAACTATTTGGGCCATGTCCCCCAAAATCAATCCCAACCTTCCCTTTGAGGTATGGAACCTTGTGGTAAAAATTCATAGAGATCCATACACTTATACACAAGTTATTTTCCTGAAACAAGAAAAATACTTGTTTTTAGCCGCTTTATAGCCCCTGATTACTAAACAGCTACAACAATTACCCTCAAAATCAATCCCAACCTTCCTTTTGTGGTATGGAACCTTGTGCTAAAATTTCATAGAGATCCATACACTTATACTCAAGCTATTGTCTGCGAACCAGAAAAATGTTTGTTTTTGGCCCCTTTTTGGCACTTAATTACTACACAGCTACGACAGTAACCCCCAAAATCAATCCCAATCTTCCTATTGTGGTATGGAACCTAGTGCTAAAATTTCAGAGAGATCCATAGACTTATACTCAAGTTATTGTCTGTGAATCAAAATGTCTTCGGACGACAAGAAAAATGCTTGTTTTGGTCCTTAATTACTAAACCGCTACGACAATCATCCCCAAAATCAATCACAACCTTCATTTTATGGTATGGAACTTTGTGCTAAAATTTCATTGAGATCCATACACTTATACTCACGTTATTGTCTGCGAACCAAAATGTCTTCGGACGACGACGCAGACATCACCATAGCATAATACGAACGCAAAAAATTTGCGGTCGTATAAAAATGTGGTAAAAACTTACTTTCTGTTACGAATCACAAATTTTGACTAACATCTTTTTCATGCTAGGATTTCAATGAAGATGAATATAAAGGTATATTTGGCATTGTACAAGATCATGATTTTCCCTGTTAATGACGTCTTTACACTAATTCCGGGGTTAGACCTATAATACGACAATCCTTTAACCCGACAGTTCTATACGGTTCCGACAGTCCTATACGGTTCCGACAGCCCGTTGGTCCGACTGTGAGTCCTTTAATCCGACTGCCCGATAGTCTGACTCGCGGTCACCCGTGTCTGAAAAAAAAAGAAACAGTAGACATGTAACGTTTGTATAATGGTATATTTTTTCACAGAAAAAATACTTTTGTGCCTTTGGTTCGACTCACATATCATGACTGCTAAAACGAGTGACTTGTTTATCTTATTTTTATCCCTGTACACATGAACTGCGTTATGCTATTGATGCGTCGGGCCATATACAGACTTAACTTTGCGATTAAAGTTGGCGTAACAAGAGTTGAGTATTTCCCATGTAATCAATGTTTATTAGGTGTTTGACTCCAATTTCTTTTGCAGAAAGTTAGCTCGATCTCCCTGTAAAACATAAAACTACTAATATGCATATTATAACATCATACTCCCGTGCTTAAAATATATCAATGGTGTTAAAGCACAAAAAGACACAAAAGTGCTATTTTAGAACGATGAGTAGGTGTGATTTACAAGAGTCATCTAATGTTTTGTTACCCCCGCTCCACCCAAGCCGGTGGTCTCGTATATTTGAATCCTGAATCTGTATAAGACTCCTAGCTGTATAGATCCCCGATATATATAACACAGTAACTGCGAGCATTCATTTTTGGGGTACATCTTTTGTGTGTCCTCGTGTTATTTGTGTTGATGTGTTTCCTTATTTCATTGGCGACAATCAGTACTGATTTTTACTATGCACTTGAATATGTTTTCTTTCGTTTCACCTCTGACCACACATATGGGACTGATTTGAATTTAACAAAAATAATTTAACCGAACTCATGTTATATACGCTTGTCATTCTAAAGTCGAAACATTTGATTAAATTGCTCTCTAATGTTGTCGGGACAATCTAGAACTTCCTATGAGGGAAAAGGTGGGTTCACTTTGCATTGAGGATCATGCAGTGAGCTCTTATCTGCAGTATCTGGTTTTTTTTTTGCTGTATGTGAATGTGTACTGTTTGGGTGTCATTGTCATTGTCCGTTCCGTTCTTTTTCACATAAATGTTGTCATGTCGTGATGATTCTATGACTAGAAATTATGATATGTGATATTTCACATTCAACCACATAATGCATTACATGTACGCACATGTATGTAATCAGATATTATCGGTACCAACTTTGACATCGTGAACAAGAATGGAATCGTATATGAATTGTTCAAACATAATTTTGTACAGCTAAAGTTATCCATTCCTGGGGTAAAACATCCGTAGTATTACGAAAAATGCAATGTTTTGTTAACAGTTAATTTGTTATTATGACCATATCAGTGATTATTCATGTCAACGCAAAAGTGCTGACTATACTGGGCTGGGATACTCTCGGAGAGGAAACCAGGCTTACATTTTGTACGTCAGACGCGCATTTTGTCTACAAAAGACACATTAGTGACACTCGAACAAAAAAAAAAATAAAAAGGCCAAATAAAGTACGAAGTTGAAGAGCATTGAGGACCCCAAATCCCGAAGGGTTTTACCAAATACAACATGCAACTGCATGTAACTGCAGCATGTCAATGTTTTACAAGAAGATTATGTAGTTTGATGGGGTTTCCTACTTCGGACAGTCGCCAAGAACTTATTCAGTGTCTAGAATATAATAGTTGTATTAACTTTCGTCGTCAATGTACGATGCAGTTGAAGCAATCAAGAAAACACATTTTCTAATTTGTACAAAAGAAATATTTGAAATTCAACTTTTCATTGGTCAAATTACTAACTATGTACTTATCTATTCAAAGTCAAAGTCAAAGTCAAAGATTTGATTGATGTAAAATCCAAAATATGGATTGTCATCAACACACAAACAAAGAACAAACATTAATCATTTCAATCAATTATGTGTACATAAAATGGTAGTATATATGTTTAATAATATAAATACAAAACATAAAAAAAATATAAAAAGATATATAGAATCTTGTAGTTTTTTCCCCCTTCTATCTATTTGACTGAAGAGGTACAGTTTTAC